ATCGTTTATAGAACGGCAATACACATATGTTTTAAAAAAAAAAAAAAAAACAAACAAACGAACGCGACGATTAACGCGCAAGAGTAAACGCGCAGAGATAAATCGACCGGCCGTAAAAAATCTCGTCGAATAATATTGTTGTTTTTGGACGCGGCGGACCGTACCGCATTGTCGTCGGTCGGTATTTTATTATTATTTTTTTTTTCATCGGCTGTAATTACTATCGTTTCTGTGCGTACCGCGGACCGATTATTTTTCGATATCTCACTGTCCGGCCCGGTACGCGCCCGACGGTGTTTAACGGGTAAAGAATAGTAATAGTAATAACAATAAAACAAAAAAAAAAAAAAATATAAATACATTACAAAAGTAATATTTTAACGACCGTTTGATTTACTGCCGCCGTATTTTTTTGTTTTAGTACCGCGTGCCGTACGCACTCGTACGTACGCGTTTGCATATTATTATAACAATAATTATACGGTCTGTAACGAGAAAATATTATACGCGGACATTTGAAACGGGTAAAGAGAGGGGGGCTATCGTTTCCCCCACACCCTCCCCCGCTGTATACGTCTCGATGACCGTTGCAGTGGGCGGGCAGGAAGTGGTGTACATGTATTACATTATAATAGGCGAACGCAATCGCGTGGGAGGTTTAAAAAACGGCCGTGATTATTTGAAAGACCGATGACCGGCCCGCGCGGTACCCGCTCGGGAAATCGATATTTCGCGAATAAATTCGTATTCCCAGAGTTGATATTATATTAGACATTATGATAAACGGGCGTATAATAAGTATATAATATGATATGCGTAGGGTGCGCGTTGAAATGTCTTAAAAAAATAAACCGAGGAAAACGCGCTTATTAAAAGAAAACGCTCTGAAAATTATTTTCAACGTAGAAAAATCATTTTTCAAATTTTTTATTCGTAGCGATGAGATTTCAAAGTAAACTACAATCTCGACAATTTAAATTGATAAAAGTTGGAAGACAAACAGCGATAAAGCTCACACAATCAGCACAATTTTAAGATCCCATTGAATTACTGCAAAACTAAGAACGTGCCTCATAACTTTTCATTAAATTGTTTATTTTTTCAATTTAAAAAAAAAAGAAAAAGAAAAAAAAGACGTCCTAGGATAATGAGGACGGGTACAGGCACTGTCATAGGTAGTTTAATGAATGTCTGTAAGCAACGATAAAAAATCCTTTGATCAGGAAAAAACGATTCTGGGCGGAGTTCAGTTGATGGTGATTTTTTGTCATCAGTATATATAATTTATATCATAGTAAAATGATTAAATGTCCTTTATATATTTTCTCGAACACAATATTTGTTTAATGTTGAACCGATTTTCCCGGTTTTTCACGTTTGCCGAGAAAACTCGTCAGAAAATCGAAAAACGACCTCTATAAAGTTCCGTCGGATTTCCTTTTAGGGACAGCGCTGTCATTATAAATCGGAGCGAAATTTCCGGTAGAAAAATTGTTCGCATAAAAAAAAAAAAAAATAAAAAAAATATAAACATTTTCGTGAGCTTCTCCGCTCCATTCGGAATCCGGAACGCGACGTACGTACTTTACGTCCGTGTTATCCTTGTTAGTATTATATCGCGTACGTTGCAGTTTGATAATCAAAATTCGATGGGTAGTTTCGAGAGTGGCCGTCGGGGTGTGTGACATTATACGATATCCGGAGGCCAGTCCGGCGTAACGGCGGAGCAATTCCAAACGATACCGTTTCGAGTTAAGCAATAAATGCCGGATAATTCGGCGCAACAATAACGCGAGTGTGCCGAACACGGAGAAATCGGCGATCGGGACCGTTCCGATTCAGCCGAGTAGGCTGACGGTTATTTATTTGTCCTCGGCAATTTCGAAAAGTAGACCTTATCACTGCTAAACGGGCCGTAATAATACGGTGGAAAAATGGCGCGCGTAAAACAAAC